TGTTTGGATTTGTAGTCTAAAAACTTCTGTAGAAAGTGTTTTGAAAATCAAAGCAATGCACATTTTCACTTGTCTCACATTTGAGGATGATGAACTGCAGCCTAATTTGAGTTTTCTTTTTTTGAGGCAATCTTGACAAGGGAAGAAACCCCATAATCTATTATCATTAAATGTCTCGAGTAGAGATGTTTGGATTTGTAGTCTAAAAACTTCTGTAGGAAGTTTTTTGAAAATCAAAGCAATGCACATTTTCATTTGTCTCACATTTGAGGATGATGAACTGCAACCTAATTTGAGTTTTCTTTTTTTGAGGCAATCTTGACAAGGGAAGAAAGCAGGAATAATACCATTCTCTCCCCAAAGATGGAAATTAACACAAATAACCTTTTAACATATATTGCATATAATGGTTACAGCTGTTGCTTTGTGGCATGAATGAGAAGCATCAGATTCACAACTTTTTTGACAATCACCTAGTCATTCTGTGGTTGCTGTTTGTCTATGTATCTCTATGTGCTTTCTTTCTTAAAGGAAAGATAATCACTTTGTGCACAGGCCATTTGAGCAACCTGTGGAACGGTTGTCATGGGTTTTTCGGGCTCGTTGGCCGTGTTCTGAAGGTTGTTCTTCCTAACATTTCTCCAGTCTCTGTTGCTGGCACCTTCAGAGTGCTGCCCTCTGAAGATGCCGGCCACAGAGACTGGCAAAACCTTAGGAAGAACAACCTTCAGAAGACGGCCAAAGAGCCTGAAAAACCCACAACACCCATTAGATCCCGGCCATGAAAGCCTTCACAAATACATTAACCTGTGGAACCCTCGTCAGGAAAAAAAAGATAGCTGGAGGCATGGAGTCTTGAGGCTTGAAGGTTCCTTGTCAAAGTATCTCAGCAAGTAGAAACAGGCTTGATTGCTGGTAATGAAGAACGTAGTCGGTGTTCTTTAAACCCTTATTGAGAAAATAGGGGTGTTTGGTGATGAAAGCCAGGTTGTCTCTAGGTCAGGTTAGGAAAACTGAGAGATGGGCCCTTACTGGCTCTTGGGGAGAAAAGTTATCCTGGTTTTGATCTCTTTTCTTCCTTGCTGCACAGGTGAATGAAGCTGAGGAGGAGCGGCTGCGCAGCGAGAGGGAGCATCAGCGTGTTACTCAGCTGTGCCAGCAGGCTGAGGCAAAAGTCCAGTCCCTACAAAAGTCCTTGAAGCGTGTCATAGTGAAGAGCAAGCCTTACTTTGAACTGAAAGCTCAGTTCAACCAAATTCTCGAGGTGAGACCTCCAACCCAATCCAAATTCTCACGTCTCACCGTGCCCCTCTCTGCAGCCTGTGGGAACCTCGTCTGGTGAATGAGGGGCTGAAATTTGGAAGTTGGACCCATGCCCATTCCCCCTTTATTGCTGGGACTGAAGGGACACAAATTACAGCCAAAACGCCATCTAACATTTTCTAAATACAGAACCAGAAGTTGGAAAAGATTTAAATTTTTTTGCATCAGAACTTGCAGATTCTTTCAGTGCTCAAGGCCGTGCTGGCTGGAGGATTCTGGGAGACAGTGTTTTTAAAAAAAGACTTTTCCATTCTGTGCCTACCTCTATGCTTCTTACTTGGCAGAAGGTTGTATAATATTCTGTGGGAAGTAGATTTCTAAGTGTTTGTGAACTTTTTTTTTTTTAAAAAGCACAGTTAAAATAACAGGAACAGCAACACATCTGAGCTATGGCTGGCTTTATGCTGATTGATTATCTGACAGCCTCAATATGTCTATTCTGTAAAATAGGAGCATTGGACCGCTGTTTTTGTTCACCAGTTTTAGAGACGTGTTTAGAGCTCCTGTTGATTTTTTGTGGGAATGGAAAACTCAATCCAGCTTCCTGGGATCCTTATCTTGTACTCTGGAAGTTCCTTTTTGGGGGGTGGGTTCTAGCATTCTTTCAGTTTGGACCTATTCTAAAAGGTTCAAATGCCACTTGTAAGATGATGTTACCTGTAGTAAGAGCTTGAAGCTTAAAATAGGTTCGTAGTTTTGGTCCCAACCGTCTCCCCCACATCCACTTGTGAGAATGAATTTAAATAATGTAAATAAATGAATGGAATTATTCAGAACTTCCCTGAAACTGAGTTTGGCTCTTGGGCTAAAAGGGTCCCTCACACTTGCTTTATGGCACCTCACATGTAGATTCACATATAGTGAGGTTTGTGAGGTGCATATTTTAGAGATACATTGAATTTTTTCCCCCTTGTTTTAAGGGTCTCTTTTCTAAAGAGCATTTTAAGGCATTTTTGAAGGAATGTAGGGATTTCACAGGAATTTTCTGGCTTTATGCATTTCTCCTTATCAATCCAAAGTGGCAAGGGATATCTTCTGTGGTTTCGCCTTTCTGTAAATACTTTCCACAGACAGACAACTAAACCACTGCGCTTAGCCAACAATGACAACACAACTCATTAGTAACAAACTGCTTGCACCATACAAGCAAACTGGCTGGTGAGAAGTAAAGACCAATGCAGTATAGACCAATGCAGTGTGTCTATACTGCATTGGTCTTTACTTCTATATATATATTGTGCTATAGGCAATCTAGTGGAAAATCCAGAACAGATTTTTGCTTATCCTTGCTCTGTGAACAACCACCATAGTTATCTCTTGCCTCTCCTCTGCTGTGTTGTCTAGGAGCACAAGGCCAGGGTAACATCCCTGGAGCAGCAGGTTGCCCAGGCGAAGATGCGCTACTCCGTGGCTTTGCGGAACCTGGAGCAAATCAGTGAGCAGATCCATGCCCGGCGTCTCCAGCGTCTAGTTGGACGGCGGGCTTCCCCAGTGGGCGCTGAAGCCAGCCCGATTTTGCTGTACGGAAATATGGCCCTACCTCCTGAACCAGCCACCTCTTCTGACACGCTCTCAGTGCTCAGCTTCCAGACCATTGCCTCTGACCTACAGAAATTCGACTCGGTGGAGCACCTTCTGGGCCTGTCCGACGCTGCCAGTCTCAACAGCGATGAGCTTGAAGAGCGGGAACAGCGCCGCGGTGCTCAGCCTCACCCTTTCAAACACCACCGTAGCATCAGCCTTTGACCTCCCTCTCCCCATATGTCCCCTGCTCCAGAACCCCACGCTCCGTTTAAGGTGGGGTGGGCCATGTGCAGCTCTCCAGAGATTGTGCTGGACTGGGGTTTCTAGCATCCCTCAGTAGTGGTTACCTTGCAGATGAATGCTTGGGTTTGCAGTCTGGTGTTTTGAGAGTGGTAGTTTGCCTACTGCTACTTGAAGTCCTGTCCTTAAAGAGAATGGGGAGGTAGCCAGAATCTTGGAGGTGCAAAATGTAGTTGCCAAAGGAGGCAACGTTTTGAGTGCATGGTTTATATAGTGATGCTGGGCCTTGCCTGTGTGAAACGTTGCCTATGAGTGGATGATTCCTCCCCTATCCCCTTGAGCAGCCTTAGGTGTCACCCAGACGTCTTGCCTTATGAACACCGTGGGCTCATCTGGACCCCAGTTGCTTGGAGACTGGCATTTTGGTTCCACTCTTCTAGCTCCATCAGCCTGCCCTACCCACCGGCCCCAGCATGCACCTGTTTGCTGGGAGCACTGCATGCTGGAAGTATTTCTGCAACCCAGTACATTTTATCTGAACCTGTTGGATCAATGGGAAGAAAGGTGAAATGGTGAGGGGAGAGACGCTGCTGTTTTTACAATGACTATTTTCTGTTGGGTTGGATGATGAGGAACACAGGTGGGCTGCAACAGGAAGTGCCACTGTACAGATGTGCCACTGCACTTGTAACTGCATTCCAGAAAGCCTCCTTGCTCCATTTACATCACATTGCTGGCTCCCATGAGCCATACGATATGGCCTTTTTGGAACGATATGGCCTTTTTGGAACGGAACTCTGGCACCCCCTCCAGGGCCATTTTGACACACTACAAGAGGCATGCCGTTTTGTCCCTTCCTAGCAAAGATTCTCTACTACATATCATAGCAGCTGCCAAGCTCTTTATAGCTTCTTCAAGATGGTGACCTATATTCTTGGTTCAGTGCAAAAGCTGGGGAGAGACTGGCATTCTGAGGTTGCATTTCAAACACTAAGAGGTGAGAAAAGAGCAGAGCGAGAGGCTTGTTCTGTTGGGATGACCCTCCCTACCCACCCCACCTCCTGGTCTCACCTTCTTGCCACATCCCAATTTGCCATGCTGACTTCCCCCGGATGTTATTTGCACTAAGAAGTGGCAAAAGGTGGGGCCAGGAAGTCACTTTTTCTCCTCCCAGCAATCTCTCTGAGCCCGTTTCTCCCAGCTTTCTGGGGAGGGTGGCAATTTCCACCTCTGAAAACAGGTTTGCTGGTTACTGGCTGTGATGAGAACCAGTTGCTGGTTTGAGGCAGCCTGATAGCAACTCTGTATGTGTGTCTGTGTGTGTTCATATGACTGGCTTCTGCTGTGTATTTTATTTAAAGTAAAGTTTATGCCCTATTGAGAGTTGTTGTTCTCAATCTTCCGCTTCTCTCGCTTGGTTTTTTTTTTTTGTCATGCATTTCAGAAAATTGGTTTTTCATCTCCTCAAGGCATGGATCAGAAAGTGAATAGGAGGGCCCTCCCATTCATTTTGACAGGGAAGGCCTTATTAGGCCTTTGTTAGCCCTACTATAGTTACATGCCAAGTTGATTCTAATTTATACTTAATACCTTCCAGAGTTTTCTAGGTGTAAATTACTCAGAATTATGTAGTTTACCAAGTCCCTCCTTCTGGTGGTGCTCTGTAAGGGTACAGTTTGCCCAAGCTCGCCCAGGTGGCAGGCCACACAGCCCCCTCCACCACGCTCTCTCCAGGTACCCTTGCTGGCCCTTCTCCTGGAAGGCAGAGTGAGAGATTTGTGAGCTCTACCAGCTCCCTTTGTTAGTCCTAGGCTAGTTTCTTTTTCGCATCTGCTGTATGGACTACTAGCTGAAGAAAGAAAGCTAGCCATCCTTCACGTAGAACACATGGAGGTTCCTACAAGAATAGGTAGTGCAGTGCTTTCGAGCTAGCATGTCTTCACCTTTCCTTTCCCCCAGCTGGTACTTCACCAGGGACTTGCGTTTGTGGAACTTTCTTATCCATCCTATTGGTGTTGCTTTTGTATACATCAGGGTAGAAACCAGGTGGCTCAAGAGCTGGAAGCCGCCTCCTAAGGCTTTGTTTTTGCACTCGCAAGATCTAAAATCAGTTCACCCCAGCCAACTCTGCCAAAGAGATGAGGGAATTCCACCTCCAAGGGTGCAGTTCTCTCCTGAAAAAAGACTTGTCCTGCACCTTTATAAATATTATTTTAGCAGAAAACTGATTTTTCCCCCTCAAACCCCAGAAGTGTGGTGTGGTTTTTGTGATTTTTTTTTTTTGGAAATGAGGCATGACCTTTCATTCAGTTAATTTTCACATGGGTAGTCTTGCTGCCTCTTGGCAAGGTCTTAGGGTCAGAAAATATGTCCCAGAGCTTGCCAGCCTGGTATATATAAGTAATGACGTTTGAGAGCAGACCTATTAGAAGTCATTGCAAGTCAATCCATTTTATATTTTTAATTTGCCTTCTGAATAGTCACTAGAACCTTTATGTGAATCCAGAACTTGATTGGAGGTGCCATAAAACAGAAGCAGGCATAAAGATAGATTAGTGATCTGCATCTGATTGGCAACAATTCCTCTTTCTTAACTGTTAAACTATGGGCACAACAAAATTACTTTTCCCACCCTAAATTATACTACTGAAAAGAAATCTTGCAACAAGATGATGGAATGAGTGGATTTCTGTGCACATAGATTGTAACTTTTGTTTGGTTCTGGTACTTAAGATAAAATCCTGGATCAGAATTCTTTAATTCTAGATGTTAATGTTTTACAACAAACTGAAGCTGATGGAGCTTGAGTTCCTAAAAGAACAAGAAAGTAAGCCCCAGAAGCCTGAGGTTGGGCCATCTCTGCTAAACGTTAGTGGCAGATTACATGCTTTACATATGAAGTTTGCCAAGTTCAGTGGTTGTTCTGGGTTTTTCGGGCTCTTTGGACGTGTTCTGAAGGTTGTTCTTCCTGATGTTTCGCCAGTCTCTGTGGTCGGCATCTTCAGAGGACAGCAACCTGTACTCTGGTGTGTCTCTGCAGCGTAGTAGAAATGTTAGGGAACATAGTAGGTGTGCTCTTTTGCTTCGGAGTGTTTCCAGTCTCCGGGTCTGTCTGACTGTTTTCTCCACGTAGAGGCGTTCAGTATACAGGTTGCTATCCTCTGAAGATGCCGGCCACAGAGACTGGCGAAACATCAGGAAGAACAACCTTCAGAACACAGCCAAAGAGCCCAAAAAACCCAGAACAACCATTAGATCCCGGCCGTGAAAACCTTCACGAATATATTGCCAAGTTCAGATGCCAATTTTCTCCAGTCTGGAAAAATAATCAGATAAGAGGTGATAAGAGTTAACTCTGATTTAGACTGAAGAGAAATGAAAAGTAGCTCGAACTACATACAGTACTTTCAAGGTACAGTATCAAGGGTGGTGAGGGTATTAAAGGGAGATTATGTCAGTTCACAAAATATGCTTGGTTTCCCAGAGGTGTATTTCTTTGGCACATCTCTGGTAGATAACACCTATTAATGTCACATACATTTTTACTTAGTAAAGGTTCCCCTTGACGTTTAGTCCAGTTGTGTCCGACTCCAGGGCTCATCCCCATTTCTAAGCCATAGAGCCAGCGTTTGTCCGAAGACAGTTTCCGTGGTCACGTGGCCAGCGTGACTAAACACGGAACGCTGTTACCTTTCCACCGAGGTGGTACCTATTTACCTACTTGTATTTTTACATGCTTTTGAACTGCTAGATTGACAGGAGCTCACTCTGTCGCATAGATTCGATCTTATGACTGCTGGTCTTCTGACCCTGCAGCACAGAGGCTTCTGTGGTTTAACCCGCAGCGCCACCACGACCACATTTTTACTTACATAAATTCAATTTTAATATGTTAATGATAACTCTGTTTGAAAGTTTTCACACATAATTTGGCTGTGCCACTGCTTTGCCCCCCCCCCGGGGATTCTTATTACTGGGACATCCAAGAATTCATCCAGATACATAAACCTTCAGGGGCAAACTACCATATTTTTCCATTTATAAGATGACCCAATGTATAAGATGACCGACCACCCCCTTTTCTAACCCCACATTAGAAAAAGCAGGGATCAAAGGGCTTCCTTTTTGCTGAGCCCCGTGCCTTGGCAAAAGGCAAGGAAAGTGGCGGTCAAAGTAACTGCAAAAGGCAGCAGTAAAGAACTGCCTTCCATGTATAAAACGATCCTCATTTTTCCCCTCAAATTATTTAAGGGGAAAGTGTTGTTTTATACAATGAAAAATACAGTATCTTGAGAGGCAGCCGGCTCCAACAGGCCACCTGTCTCTATGCATGTCCCAGCCTCTCAGCTGGGGACATGTAGGCTGCCTAAAAAATAGTAAATATCAATTTATCATTTTATTTCTTAGGCAGCTGGCCAGTCAGCCTCCAGGCTGCCTCTGCACATAGAATCATAGAAAAGCGAAATTGGAAGGGGCCTACAAGACCATCAAGTCCACATGCGCAGAGGCTGCCAGCCTGTGGGAGCCAGCTGCCTCTCAAAATGGCGGCAGCAGAAGAGGCAATGGGAGCAGTGGGAAGAGGGCGGCTGTGTGGACAGGGAGTTTGGACAAGCTTCATTGGGCCGTCTAAAAAATTCCAGAACAGTCAAACCGATTTGTGGTGTAGTGCTTTTTTTGTTTTTTGAAAATTTAGTAAATTTGTGTTTTGTTGGCTTCTATGAACTGTGAACCAAGACAAACCACCATTTTGGTGATTCATGCCCCTTTCTAGCTATGATGAAAGCTGAAGGTGGGAGCAGAAACTCCAGTTGTACTTTTTAGACACTTAAAGTCAGCACTCAATTACAAGAGATGCACTCAGTCTAAAAATTTGTGTCTGGCCTTTGGGGAAGAGCAGTATCTTTGTAGGGTTGGGAAAAAACTGCTTTTAGAAAACTCTTCACACAGTCCACACAACAAGGCGTTTAGCCGCCCAGAGTAGACTTGTGTCTAGATGGGTGGGGTACAGTATACTTTAAACAAACAAACAAACAAACAAATGTTTAGCCGCCCAGAGTAGTCCACACAACAAGGTGTTGCTGCCCAGAGTAGACTTGCGTCTAGATGGGCGGGGTACAGTATACATCAAACAAACAAACAAACAAAGTACTGAAGGTCTAAATGGACTTCTAATGTTTTCCTGACTTATCCCGAGGAAAAAATTATAATTAGATGTACAAACTTGCATTTCAAACCTGCATACAAATATTGTTCAACCAAGAAAATGGCTTTTCTAAGATAATCCAGCCCAAAAGCAAAGAAGCATATGCAAGAAAATCTATCCAGCTATATAAGCTATTGTAGTCTCAATACAGGAGACACATTCTAGTTTGCACTGTTAGACTGCCATTTCCTTTTCTATTTCTTCACATTTCATTAAAACTAAGATCCAATTAATCTGTTTGCTTTGAAAATGTGGTGGGAAGGGAGCTGCAGGTTTCTCCTTCTGTCTTCATGCATAAGGACTAATTATTTTAAATAAGAATATTAGTGACTCCAGGGATGCTCTGGGACAGTGTTCATGACGGAAGGACCTGTTGTGGTGGTCTTAGGAAAGCTGTTGTGATAGGGGAGACACCCTCCTCTCTTTTCCTCACAAAAAGCTGCTTTTAAAAAAAAGCTGCTTAGAAAGAAATGTGTGTATAAAACCACCCATCCTTTTCCTACGTCCTATTTACTTGTTCCAATTTCAACCAGACAATCAAGCAATTCAGATTAGGTTTAATTGCATTATGTAAAGTGGAGAGGTTTCAGAGAAGAGGCAAACAAGCATTTATTCCTTTGCGAAAGGGAATTCTGGATGGCGAGCAGAGAAGATAACTACAGTAGTCCTCTCACATGCCCGACAACATTTGGCAACACAATAGAAGGGCCATGAGAAGCAAGAGAGAACTGGTTGCTGCTGTCATCCCAATACTGTACTTTTAAGGATTTATTTGGCATGTGATACATGGTATAGAAACAGATTGAATTAAATAGAACAAGCAAACACCCACCCACCAACCTCAGCTTCAACAGCCAGTTAGAACATTTTATATTCCCTAAAAATTTCCTTGACCTGGCAAGGGAATTAGGGGTGTGTGTTACCGACGTTGTCACTGATTCTTGGGTAACAATATATGAGCTGAACAGACTCCATATGAAGTCTTTGATATTGAAATCGCTCTTAGTGAATAATTCTCTTTAGCCCGGGGAAAGGCAATCTGCAGAAGTTCTGGAACTGCACATTCCCACGTCCTAAATTATTTATTATTTTAAAACCAAAATAACTTTTTTTAAAACATTGAAACTAGCTCCCAATACAGCCTTCTTATTCCCTCCCCCCTTTTTTTAAATAAGGAGGGTCAGGGATGCTAGGAACTCTTCAAAACATGGGAACATTTTCTCCTACCCTAGCTAGATGTACAGAAGGCCTTTTAAAAAAAAAACACACACACATCCCACCCACCCCCAACTGAATTCAGATATATAGGAGTGTAAGGGATGGCATCTGGGCCCTTGCGTGTGTCACATGAGTCCTCCAAACCCTTTTGTAATCATTTGTTTGGGGGGGGGGAGGCGTCTGTAAAACAACCGTAGCAACTGGAAAGTTGCTTTTTGTCAGGTCACATCATCTGTCTGGACCAGAACTGTCTTCTGTGATGGGCAGTGGCTGTCTACGATGCTAGGCAGGTATCTTCCCCATTGCCTGCTCCTTGAGACCCTTTTAAAAATGAACTTGTAAAGAACTGAACTGAGGACTTTCAGATTCAAAGCAGATATTCCACCATTAAGCTGGCTCCCTTGCTAAGTGTAAAGGGCTCGTGTGTCACCTAATTAAATAGCATATAGTCAGATATTAATGACAGTACTGGGCCAGCTGTCTTTTTCCTATAGCCATATGATCAGCTGGGTGGGAGATGAAAGCGGGTGGAGCTTTCTCTGCCACCAGAGAGTAAGCAAGGAAAACCTCTGATGGCCACATGCAGTTCATGAGTTGTGCATCTGTGATCTAGAACAGTGGTTCTTAATTTTTTTTAACATTTTAGGTCCCATCAAGCACTCTGTCAAAGAACCAGAGTCTCACTACAACACAAATAAAAAGCCCACTTTCTCTCAAAAGGACATTTATATGTTTACAGGCATTCTGTTGTTCTCATTTATGGTCATTTGGTGAAGAGGGCGTTAGGGAAAACAGCAAGTGTCCAGACATACAGTATGTGTACCGTTGTTTGAGAAGACCTGCTCCTGAACGCAAGGAGCTTACATGCTAAGAAACAAAGACCGCAGGATCCAAGGAAAAGATACATCTGCAAAGCACCACTGTTAACAGTGACCATAAGCTAGAGAAGAACTGGTCCAGGGATCGAATTTTCCCCATGCCAACTCATATTACAACAGCATTCATCAAATAGTTTTATACTGAACATCATCGCAGAAGGTTGATATGGATTGGTTTATCCCAGTTACAGCAAAATGAAGACACATCAACTCACTAGCAGTACTGTATTCAGATTGGGTGAAACAGGTTCTAAGAAGAGGCAATAATCGGGGCCCATGGAAGTCTTTAAAATAGAAAGCCCAGAAAAACACAAAGAGAAGGGGACAGAAAACTGTACTTCTGCTGGACTTTAGCACTTTCACTTCAGTAAGTGGGGTCCCCACAGTCAGTGTCAGCTGGCATTTGGAACACAAACAGGCGAGAAGGCAGGGGTGTGTGCTTATACATCTACCAAACCATTTACATGGCTGGGAACAATGAGTCTAGAGAGCTGTTGGTCAGCCTGTCTGTCCGCCCCTACCCATGTTACTTCTGCTGCTGCATAGATGTTGGAGTAGGAAGAGGAGATGATATGCTGAATCGATGCTACAAATTGCTGGTCCCTATGAAAAGTATTTGTGCCCTACAGGTCAGATTTAAAGTAAAGTTTGCTTTCAGATTATGATCCATCTGCTTCTGTGTTAGACGTGAGAAGGGAGGGCCTCCCTATCTACATGGCTGCTTCTCTTTAAAGGAAAGACAGCTCTGCTGCTTTTAATGGTTGTGCTATAATGATACAGGGGAAGAGTGCTCTATAATATTATATATGGGTGCTGTATTCTTCTGGAGAATCTCTGGCCCCTACCTTTTGATGAACTATTATTCCCATCATCCTTCACTACAAATCACATTGGTGGGCGTTTACAATACACTGGAAATTGACAATATTTGTGGGTGGGTGGGGGCACAGGTCTCTCAGCAACACTACACAAAAGTGCTTCTTCTAAGTGCTCTCAATGTCTTTTATCACAGTAACTCTTCCTACAGTCCTCTAAACTGGAAAACATTATTATCCCCATTTCACAGGCAGGATGACGGAAGATGAGACAAATGTATAAAGAGCACAGAATTATTTCTTTGCTGAACTTTTCAACACTCATTTAGGGGCTTTATTCCTCTCACAGTATGGAGAGTGTAGAGATTGTTTGATTTATTCAGGCTGCAGTTCTATATATACTCATTTGCTTAGGAGTAAGCCCTGCGAAACTCAAGAGGACTTACTCTCTAAAAATACATATAGCTATATTAAACAACCAAGAGACAGGAACCGTCTTTCCCTGTAACCAGCAGGGGAATAATCTTTTAGCCTGAGGATTGAACTGAATTTCAGATAAGTTCTCAGGGCTGTATGTCAAGGGTTAGGTGAAGCCAAGATCAAAATAATTGAAGTTAAAAATATACCAGTCTGCTTTACTAAAAGCTCTTGCTGCCAGTAACAAAGCCCTAAGAGAAGCATTTCGTTGTTTCAGAATAGGGAAACTCCCATTAGGAGCTGGGACATGACCGAACAGGACCCTGGAAATTGTCCAAAATATCTCTGCTGCTGTCCTACCAAAAAAAAGAGGCTGATGTTTTGGCAGCTGTTCTCATCTAGGTAATATTATGGGGTTTATAGATCGTTGCATGGTGCAGGAGAAGTGGCTAGAAATAATATTTCTCATCCCATAATTCCAGTTAATAGATAAAAGTTAATTGGGAGCAGGCTGAAGAGAAACAACATACAGTGGACCCTTGACTTACAGACGGCTTGACTTACAGACTTTTTGAGTTACAGACTTCTCTGGCCGCAAAATTTAGGTTTGACTTGCCGACTGAGATTTGACTTACAGACCAGAAAAAAACCAAAATGGAACAAAAACGGCCTGTTACGGGATTAATCGGTTTTCAATGCACTGTAGGTCAATAGAGACTTGACTTACAGACTTTTTGACTTGAGAACCGCCTTCCAATACGGATTAAGTTCTCAAGTCAAGACCCCACTGTACTTACAGAACTCATAATTAAAAAATAGGATGTTCCAGAAGAGTCAATATACTGTTCAGTATTTACATGTACAGAGGTCAGCTGCAGAAGCTGCTGTGATGACCTGATGAGGTGCCACTTAGATTCCCATAGCAGCTTCCACAGATAAGAGATTCACTCATGTGTAAACACTGAACAGGATACTGGCCAACACATGGATGGTCACTGTCATAAAAGGTTCGTTCTAGAGGGGGAGGCTAGGCATGTCCGCAACTATTAATGATAATGGCTATGTAGTCGTACCTCAGTTCCCAGGACCACTCAATGGCAGTTCTCCTTGAATTGGGGATGCAAATGAGCTTTCCCCTCCTCATACTTTGCGGCTTGGCTAGCTAGAACACAGCTTTGAAATATTACTTTTTTGAAGTCCCAAAATCTGCTATCTCAAAGCTTTGCCTTTGGTTTGTTCGGCAAGGGCCTTTTTAATTTTCCTATCTGTTGCAGCGCTATGAAATGCTTGTCTACTCTGTTTGCAATATCAGTGGTACAAGCAGAACTTGCAACCAAAACACTGCAGGGTGCCATGCTACTGCTCAGTGTTCCAGACACGAAGCAAGCCATGCCCTTTTGCAGCATACCCCATTTCTTCCCGACCACTGTTTGCTGATTTTCTGGTATCTCAATCTGGCAGCACTGTGTGGCTACTGGGAATGTTCAGTCCGGATTGGACTGTTCCCGAATCATGCCCATTTGAAGTCTTTCCTCTCTCTCTCCCCTTCACCTTGCAATCTTGGCAAACCTTGGGTCCTTCCAAGGCTGTTGACCTTTCTTTCTTCTGTGTGGATGGTACTGTTTTGGCGAATTAAGGACTGGCACCGAGGAGAATTTGGATTGCAATTAGCATATATAGGAGGACAGGCTTCTGGATCAGAGTGAAGTTCAAGCCTCTGGATAAATGCAATAAATGGACCCCTGATTTATCAGTCTATCCCTTAAATTTGCACTAGCCTTCCAAGTGCTCTCCAAATGCTTTGAACATCAAGTCCCAGAAGCGTCAGCTAATATGGCCAATGGAAAGGGATTTGTTAAGAGTTGTGATCCAGGACATCTAGAGGGCTGAATTGGAAATCCTATGAATGAAAAGTGGTTATAAATTGTGCATCATTTTATTTAGTTTTCCCCATCAAGTATACTGCAGAACCAGAACTGAGATCAACTCATTTTAAGAAAATAACCCAAAACAACCCTACAAGGGAATTTGAATTCTGCTCTTAAAATACAGTTCAGGTATGCTCTTATTGTACATACAGTTTAAAAAAAAATCTATCATGCACTCCCTCTCCCCCACTTCCCAACAAGAGGTGGGCAGGCAGAGAAGAAAAGTGAGTTGTGGGGGAAAAACAGTTGATTTCTTGAGGGAATGGCCACATGCTATGCCAAGCACAGAATCTCTTCTCCACCCCTATCCCCAGGAGCACTGCAGAAGGTTCAGGGCTTCAGGCCTATCTTTGACAGCAGTGATGATCGGAACCTCCGCTGTCTTTAACATCTGAGTTTCAGAGGACTGTACAATTGTTGTCAGCTACCAGAAACTGTGAATACTGCAGCAGTAGATGCATCTGTGTTAAACTGCAGAAATAATCCAGAGTTGTAGTGTGGTGGTGGTGAAATTAAGGACTGGAGGAACAGGAATTGGGAAGATTTAATAGAGATGGCGTGACAGCGAGGAAACCAAGAAATTTTAATGTCTCCCGCTAAGGTAGGACGTGAGAGGCCATCGCTTGGCTCCAGACTGAGAGAGGATCTATTCAAATCAATGGGACTTACCTTAATTAAGTCCCATTCCTTTCCCTGGATGTACTCTCTTTAAACACAACTAAGCCAGGATCCTGCCAAAGGGCACAGCCAAAAAGCAGGAGAAAACAGCAGAACACAGCTGATGGCTAAACCAAACACCCGAAGCCTAGAAGAATGATGATGAAGAGGACTGGAACAAAAGACCAGGAACCCATCTAAGTCAGGGTGGGCAAAGTGTGGCCTTCCTACTGTCTAAGGACTTGGAATTCCCATCAGCCCTAGCTAACATAGCAAAAGGTAAGGAATGCTGGGAATTGTAGTCTAACAAATATCTGGAGGTTTCATTTTGCCCACCCTGGATTCTAGGTTCAAAATTTGGGTAGGGGAACATTCCCACCTCCCTTACAAGCCTCCCCCCCCCAATGGGCCAGCTTTCTTAGAGCAGCCAGAGAGATGGCTCTGCACAACCTACAAGCAGGACACGGAGGACGTTGCACAGCCAAATCAGGGAGAATGGAGGAGAGGAAGAGCAACCCACCGGGACTTCCTACTGCCTCACGTGAGCTCTGCAGAGGAACAGAGAAGGGAAGGACAATAAGAGGGGGTACGAAACAGGGAGGGATCTGTGAGAGGCTAGTTTATTAAAGAAGAAGCCTGGGCCCCAGACGGAGCAGGAGAAGGGAAGGACGCATGGGGGAAACCTCGAGATGGGAAAGACAGGGCCCAAGGCAGGTCCAAAGATGGGATGGGTAGGGGTGATGGGGAAGAAGGAAAGGAAGGGAGCATCGGGAGGGAACCAGGGGAGCCGAAAGAGGATGGGAAGGCAGAGCCGGGCAGAGGAGGGGCCGGTTTGGCAGCCAGTAAAGCGGCTGGGGGCACGGCTGCCACGGAGGCCTTGTCGTTGCCGTGCGTGCGCTGGTGGCGGTTGAGGTGGGAGCTGCGGCTGAAGCATTTGCCGCAGGTGCTGCACTTGTAGGGCTTCTCCCCCGTGTGGGTGCGCTGGTGGATGGTGAGCTCCGAGCGCTGGATGAAGGCCTTGCCACACTCTCCGCAGGCGTAGGGCTTCTCCCCCAGGTGGATGCGCTGGTGCTTAATGAGGTTGGAGCTGACGCTGAAGCACTTGCCGCACGCGTCGCAGCGGTAGGGCTTCTCCCCCGTGTGCATGCGCCGGTGCTTGGTGAGGTCCGACTTCTGGATGAAACCTTTCCCGCAGTCACCGCACTTGTAGGGCTTCTCCCCCAGGTGGGTGCGCTGGTGCTTCAGCAGGTTGGAGCGCACGCTGAAGCTTTTCCCACACTCGCTGCATTTGTAGGGCTTCTCCCCAGTGTGCATGCGGCGGTGCTTGGACAGGGCCGAGTTCTGGGCAAACGATTTGCCGCAGTCTATACAGGAGTAGGGCTTCTCTCCCGTTTGTGTGCCTTGGTGGCGCACCCCCTCCCCACCCCCCCTCCCGCACTCACTGCAGGCCGGGCGCCTCCACAGGAAGCTCTTGCCGCAGTTGCTGCATTTGCAAGGTAGCAAGGCCCCGCACCGGCGCTTCCTCCGGGGCCCTGCGAAGCTGCACTCTGTACAGCGGCAGGGTGGGTGCTCGGCACTGCGGTGCACGCGCTGGTGCCGCTCCAAGTGAGAGCTCTGTGAGAAGCCCTTGCCACAATCCTCGCAATGGTAAGGCTTCTCCCCAGCATGGATGCGCTGGTGCCGGTCCAGGTGGGAGCTCCAGGCAAAACTCTTGCCACAGTCGTCACAGGCATATGGTTTGGCCGAATCGTCCGGGTGGCGCGTCCGCCGGTGCTGCAGCAAAGCTCCATTCAGCCCGAAGCTCTTGCCACAGTCTTTGCAGACGTACGGTTTCTCCGCAGCGTGGTGAGCACGCCTGTGCTTGGACAGGGCGGCATTCTTGCTGAACCCTTTGCCGCAGTCGTTGCACTGGTAGGGTTTGGTGCTGGCTTTGCTGGCCGGTGGGGTCGCCCCAGCTGAGCAGCGCTTGCACGGAGCGGCTGCTGGCGTGCTGCCAAAGTGTGTTCGCCGGTGACGGTCCAGGTGAGAACTCCAGGCAAAAGCACGGCCACAGTCCTCACAGACGTAGGGCTTCTCCCCGGTGTGGATGCGCCGGTGGCGCTCCAGGTGAGAGTTCCAGTTGAAACCCTTGCCACAGGCATCACATTTATAGGGCTTCTCTTCCAGGTGCTGCTTTTGGTGCTTAATGAGATGGGCGGGGAGGCCAAAGCTTTTGCCACAGACATTGCATTCACAGGGCCGAGCTGGGCTCGCGCTGCTCTTCTTGCCCACGTGGGTGCGCTGGTGCTGGATGAAGGCCGAGCCAACGCTGAAGCTCTTTCCACATTCCGCACAACGATAAGGCTTCGTGCTGGTATGTCGTCGCTGGTGGGTCACCAGAGTGGAGTTGAGCCGGAAGCACTTCCCACATTCATTGCACTTGTAAGGCTTCTCGACGCCACTGCTGCCGTGCAGCCGGGAGCGCTTGCCAAAGCCATATCCTTTGCCACAATCATGGCAACGGCCAGCCTGACCGAGTAGACCATGGTGGTTGCGAGCGGAGAACTTCTTGAAGCCATGGGGACTCACCCACTTACTTTGCTTCTTCCCCAGGGGCTTCCTGAACTGTTCATCTGAGATGAGCTTATCTAGGACTTTATTAGTGGCCTTCTGTTCTGACGTGGGCGTCTCTGGAGACTTTTGTGGTGGTGGATCTTGCTGAATATCCACCTTCTCAACTGTGATGCCACCTCCATCCTCATCATCTCCTCCTCCTCCTCCTCCATCCTGCTGTGTCACCACCTCCTTCCCTCCTTCCTCCTCCTCCTCCTCATTTCCATTTTCATTATTACATATTACTCCATCTTCTGCTGGAACAACAAGAGAATCCAGTAACTCCTGCGATCTAGGAAAGGAAACTTGGGAGAAAGGAATTGGAAAGGGTTTGTCATGGGTACAAAAACCTGATATCATAGCTTTATCATTCGCCAAATGTGCCCCTTGATCAGGCCTATGCCTTGTTGATTTTCCTCCACCCGATTTCCTCTCAAGATAACAGAAGCCTTGCTGGTTCAGACCTGAATTAGGAAAAGTTACTTTTTCGGAGTACAACCCTCAGAATCCTCCAGGCAGCATGACTGCTGGTGGAATTATAGGAAGTATAATACAAAAAAAAATTGTTTCCAACCTGTTTTTGAGGTTGCTCATTTAATCCAGCACCCTGTTTCCCACTCATAACCAAATTTCTATACTGCAGGTGGAATTATAGGAGGCATAATACAAAAAAAAAGTTTCCAACCTGTTTTTGAGATTGCTCATTTAATCCAGCATCCTGTTTCCCACTCATAACCAAATTTCTATCTCTGGGAAGCCCATGAGTGGGGCATGAGGACAATAGTGTAGAGGTAGTCATACCTCAGCCTTGTAGGAGCTACTTTGATTTTTTTTTCTTTACTAGAACCCCATGTTCCACTAATTGGCAGATCTTGCACACCTGATGTGCCAGGCCTATGTCATTCAAGATCCACCAAGTGTAAAAGAGACACACTTAAAATTAAAGGAATCAGTTTTGAACACCAGAACTGAACAGAGCTTGCAGTCCATACAAAAACCCACTAATGGTTACTATAAGCTTTCTTTGTTTCGGCAGTATACTGGGAAATCCTGATCTATCTTCTTCCCACCTCTGTGAGGGCACTACCCTGTAGTTATCCCCAACATTGAATGTACTCCCTCTTTATGGGGCAGATCCATATGCCCATATAATGGCTAAAGGTAAAGGTTTCCCTTGACAATTTTTGTCCAGTCGTGTTCGACTCTACGGGGCGGTGCTCATCCCCGTTTCCAAGCCATAGAGCAGACCTCAGCCTTGTAGAAGCTACTTTAATTTTTTTTTCTTTAGTAGAACTCCAAGGGACGTGGTGGCGCTGCGGGCTAAACCGCAGAAGCCTGTGCTGCAGGGTCAGAAGACCAAGCAGTCGTAAGATCGAATCCACGCTTACTTTTTCGGAGTACAACCCTCAGAATCCTCCAGGCAGCATGACTGCTGGTGGAATTATAGGAAGTATAATACAAAAAAAAATTGTTTCCAACCTGTTTTTGAGGTTGCTCATTTAATCCAGCACCCTGTTTCCCACTCATAACCAAATTTCTATCTCTGGGAAGCCCATGAGTGGGGCATGAGGACAATAGTGTAGAGGTAGTCATACCTCAGCCTTGTAGGAGCTACTTTGATTTTTTTTTCTTTACTAGAACCCCATGTTCCACTAATTGGCAGATCTTGCACACCTGATGTGCCAGGCCTATGTCATTCAAGATCCACCAAGTGTAAAAGAGACACACTTAAAATTAAAGGAATCAGTTTTGAACACCAGAACTGAACAGAGCTTGCAGTCCATACAAAAACCCACTAATGGTTACTATAAGCTTTCTTTGTTTCAGCAGTATACTGGGAAATCCTGATCTACCTTCTTCCCACCTCTGTGAGGGCACTACCCTGTAGTTATCCCCAACATTGAATGTACTCCCTCTTTATGGGGCAGATCCATATGCCCATATAATGGCTAAAGGTAAAGGTTTCCCTTGACAATTTTTGTCCAGTCGTGTTCGACTCTACGGGGCGGTGCTCATCCCCGTTTCCAAGCCATAGAGCCAGTGTTTTGTCCGAAGACAATCTTCCGTGGTCACGTGGCCAGTGTGACTTAGACACGGAACGCTGTTACCTTCCCACCGAGGTGGTCCCTATTTATCTACTTACATTTGCATGCTTTCGAACCGCTAGGGCGGCAGGAGCTGGGACAAGCGATGGGAGCTCATTCTGTCGCGTGGATTCGATTTTACGACTGCTGGTCTTCTGACCCTGCAGCACAGGCTTCTGCAGTTTAGCCCACAGTGCCACCATGTCCCTTATAATGGCTACATCCCTCTCAATTGCTCCTCTACCATTTTCTGCACAACACTAAAAAAAAATCTGTTTTGGACTACGACACTCAGACTACCATGTTTCCCTGAAAATAAGACAGGGTCTTATATTAATTTTTGCTCCAAAAATGCATTAGGGGTTATTTTCAGGGGATGCTTTATTTTGCAGTCATATCATCTCCTGGCTGTTGCACAATGGTGTAAGGTGGGGTTTCACTTAACTGAGACTTATTTTGGTGGTAGGGCTTATATTACGAGCATCCTGAAAAATCATACTAGGGTTAATTTTCAGGTTAGGTCTTATTTTCGGGGGAACAGGGTAGTTCCTGCCAAGGTGGGGCCAGTGAGGACTGTGCAACCTGCCCAAGGACCCAAGCCCAGAAATAAAGAACCGTCAAGCACAGCTGATCAGGCTCACTGTCAGGGATTCGAACTAGTGGTCAACCAGGACTGGAAACTACATGAACAAGGATTTTCCCCACTGAGTGCTACTAGAAAGTTCCTAGGGTCATTCAAAAAGGGTTTCATTTCCAAGCTGTGATTCTACACCTGGGCAATCCTTCCCATTTTTGAAGAATCTGAAAAATCCCCTGACACAGGCCCAGTTTCTCCATGTGTAAATAATTCAAGTCACACATTACTTAGTATGTTTTTTTTTAAAAAAGGTGCTCTTGCATTGTTAGAGGCCATCGGAGTCCACTTCTCTCTTGCTTTAGGGGCTGGTCCCGGTTGGTTGACAGGAACCCCAAATGTAATTCTGGCTGCAGATGGTGGGTGGGGTAGAGCTCCTCTTTATGAGATCTGCCTTTGAAGCCAAAGAAGGTTATACCCACAAAGGTGCCTCAGAGATCAGGGGCTGTGTGTTCCCAGAGCTACCTGGAGGATCTGGCTGCTCGTCTGCAAGCAATTAAAGAGGAACTGCAAGGAAAGGCTAATTGCCTAGCAACCATCAAATCTGTATCTAATTTCCTTTCCTACTTCCCCCACCCCCTTCCTCCTGTGCGGGGCCATTTACTTTCCTTCCCTTTCAGCTTTGTGTTCAGGAGGGAATCTCCCGTGTGTCTGCCTATTCAACCCAACTGCTTCAGAGGTAATTTGGTTTTCTCTCATTGGCGGATGAGCTCCCCAGGGATGGAAATTTTGCCAGGGGACAGATTCTTCATTACACTAGTTAGTATTTTGCCCCCCCTGCGCCCGCTTACCATTTCTGTCTTCAGCACAACCTTTTCATGATGACCTGGCCCTCAGTAGAGAAACCTGCACATTTCAGATTTCTAGATTTCAAAGTCCATTCATGCAAGGCCCTGAGCAGGTCTGTTTAGGCTAATCACCAGTAGCCGTGGTCTAAAAGAAGTACAGTAACCTTTCCACGCTCTGCCTTCACTTACATCAGCTGTAGTCCTCATTGGTTTCAACAACCCACTCTTTAGTCACAGCCTTGGTTTTAACAATGCATGGGGTAACCACAGGTGGCCAGGAATTCCCTAAAAGCAAATGCAGGGTGTGAGCCTGGGGGCGAGTGATAGCATCTCTGCCAGAGCGCCATCCATCATCCATCCCTTGAGACAAGGGAACTCAGAAGGAGATGACAGAGACAGGAGCTGAAGAAGGAAAGGAAATACTGTACAGGAGATCCCTTGAGAAGTGGAGGAGCAACACCAGAGGGAAGAGAAAGGAACTAGATAGTTCGAAGAGGGGGGAAAGAAGGAGACCTTAATGGGTGAAGAAAGGAGACTGAGCATAGAGAAGATGGGGGGGGCAGAAAAAGGGGAGAGAGAAAGGGAAGGCAAGAGGCAGAAGCAGGAGCAGCAAAGGGAAGGAGGGCGGGAAAGATCCTACCCTCAGGGTCGGAATGGATCTGGTTGGAGAACCTGTGGACCCATAAGCAGGAGAAGCTGATGGTCCCTTGGGAGGAAGCTGACAGGAAAAGGAGAGAAAGGATACCTGGAAAAAACCCATATTGGGGTGAAAAAGAAGCTTGGGAGTGGGGAAGAAATATCAGGGAAGAGAGAACTGAGAGAGAAAAGAGAGAGGGAACGATGGATGAACCACCTCGAACCGAGGAGATGTTCACCTCCAAGATCTGGGACTTTCAGTACCCGAAAGAGGGCTTCATAGGTACACAAAACCTGACAGGAGGACTGCTGTCCTTGTTGCCATTATCACCAGAGCTGACACTGATGGACCTAGAGACGCAGAGATGTCTTGGAGAACTCTGGGAACAAACGTTTGAAAATCTGTTCACAGTGTATGAGAAGAACCCTTTTATTAATCCTTTAAGTTCAGAAGAGTTGTTAAATGTTAACGTTGATGTCCAGAGTTTCCTTGATGTTCCAGAAATAAATGCTGAATGTTTGAAAGAACCTGAGGAGTTTTAAGTTACTTCCACACACAGAGCCGAAAGAATATTTTTGTTGTCAGGTGAACGCTTACATAGGGATTTTCATGTAGGCAAATGCAGGACAAGGGACGGATTTCTCTCTCGTTCTGCTTGGTCCTTGTTGCAAAATAAAAGAAGGCTGGCTCTCCCCAGCCGGCACGGAAACTATCAGAGGAAGGAAGGCCAAACGATCAACTAGATGGCAAGGACTAAACCTGGAATGTTTCACATGGAAAACATACACAAGCCCATGCCATTTGAGCTATGCTTGTTTCTTTGCAAGGAAAGAATCTTCCTGTGAAGGAGAAGCTGTATCTTCCTCACCACGAACTCTAAATTAAAGAAGCCCTGTATGCAATGGTTAAACTGCAGTACTGCAGTCAAGCCTCTGCTCAAAACCTTGAGTCAACTTGAACGGGTTCAGATAGCTGGTTCAAGCTTGGCTTAGCCTTCCATATTTCCAAGGATGGTAAAATAAGTACCCAGCTCACCGAGAGGCAAAGTGTTCTTGCATAATTATCTTGTAAACCACCTAGAGAGTGCTCAAGCATTACTGGCATTATATATGTTGGTACAACAACAACAACAATAAATGAATGTGAATCTCACTGGAAAGGAGACATATTTTGCCTGAAACTGAAAGCCTCTTCTGCATCTGCTTCAACACAGAATTTGGAAAAGATGTGTTTTTTTTGGACTACGTCTTCCAGAATCCACCAAATCAATACATCCAGTGGCCTTACTAAATATGGGATTCTAGAATTCAAATAATTTTTTTTCTACAGCTCTGTTCCTGCATCTTCTCATCATAATGTGTGAAGGCACACTCAGCTAAGCTGCCCAGAAAGTCTGCTGTGCCCTTCACGTGCGCCTTGGCTGGGCCTCAGAGCCAGGAGGAACAAGAATGAGGATTCTACAACCAACAGGCCCATTCACACACACACACGGACAGCACTCTCCATTCTGACTTACCAGGCACTAATCCTCTTCTCCTGTGCGATTCAGCAAAAGCAGTTATCCGGGGCCAGCTGATTGCAATTTCCTCTGCTGCATGGTCAGAGGGAGGAAAGAGGATGTAATTTGGAAAGAAACTAGATGCATGCAGTGTCTTAGTTACCTAGACATTTCCACTCAAATCATTCTGTCCGAGTTAGGACCCACTTCAGAATCCAAGATCCTTGGAAATCCAAGATTCTGAAATACACTGAATTGCACTGATGGAGTCTTTGAAACACTATTCATTAGATACTACCTTTCTCATCTTCCTTAAATGCAAGCCGAAGGTCTGCTCTATACCTATGGCAGAAGGCACTGAACAACATCAGACAACCTCTATCGTAGCGTTTGATGATCCTCTGCATTAAAGTCTCAGTGCAAAGAGAAACCGACCAGACTGAGAACTTCTCAGGCTGATGGGCGATTTTTCTGTTTCTGATTTAAAAAAATGTAGGGAACCATTCCGATGTGCTATATCCTGCCTCTAGCCCCAAGAGGTACAATCCAGCATCCCAGCACATTCTGCTGTGTGCAGAGCTACTGTATGCTGGCACTTAATTCCAATGATCTCCATCATTATAGTAATCATCTAAGAACAGCAGAACATGAAGGAACCCACTGGATCATTGAGGCCAGTCCCTGTTGAGAAAGCACAGTCGGGAATCAAACTCCCCACTTCTGGCTCTGCAGCCAGAGACCTACAGGCATCCTTCAGTCTCGAGAGACTATGGTAACATGCTCTGAATTGAGGAGTGTCCTCTCCAGAGCATGACGCCCGGGTAAGGTAATATGGAGGATAGGCTGTTACCCAAGCAGCAGATCCCCCCTCTCCACATTGCTGAAATGGTCACAGTCTGAAAACAGTTCTTCACACACTGCCCTTTAGGGTTTGTTAGTTGACTTAAACAATCTAATTCAGCCTGTATTTCTTTCATATTGTGTTTATGGCTGTGGCAAAAAAAGAGGTTCCTAATATGTCCTTAAACTGCCCTAACGTTTTTGTATTTTCGTTGTTCTTAGTTACATAAATAATGGATGGTCAAAACAAATGCACACATAAAGTTAGAGGAACATCTGAAATATTGTATGTCCCAACAATCCAACCCAGTGACTTCTTGGTCAGGCCAAATGTATTGAGCCACTTCTGTCTATGGTACAAACAGGTAAGTGTATTAGCCACATCTGCCCATGGGACTGGGTGGATGTAAGTGGCCCTTTCATCATATATTTTAACCAAAAACACACTGCTTCCAAAAGTCTGATGGAGTTAACCAAATTTCCCTGGAGAAAACTCCCCCTCCCTCTCGCTATACTACAGGTCTCATTGATCCTAGCCAACATAGGCAATAGGGATGAATTAGAGCTAGCATCCAAAATAACTAGAGGACCAAACGTTGCCCACCCCTGCTTTATAAGAACATAAGAAGAGCTCTAGTCTGGGTGGGACCAGAGTCCACGAATCATTTTTCAGCAGTGGCTGTCAGACACTTCTTGGAAGTCCACAAGGTAGACGTGATGACACAGCTGGGAAACCTAATTTTTTGGACTACAAGTTGTAAAATGCCTCAGCCAGCATGGCTATTGCAGAGTCTGTGGGTCATAGTTCCAGACACAATGAGCAAAAATCCTGTTGGCATAGTTACTCTGGCATAAAGTAAATTCAGGTGCCAGAAATACAGTAATCTAAATAAAATGAGAGCTTCCTACACCCCCCTCCAGGTTCTGAGTTTCTTTTTTTTTCATGCAAAGTATTTTAATAACAATATCTTGGCCCCCATATACCAGATAGAATCACCTGATATTTTAGAAGTGAAGTCTTATGAATGCACACTTCCATGTATGTTTCCCCAGTTACAGCCAGCCTCTCATCTTTTACAAGTTACAAAATAAAAAATATATATGCAACACATTAAAAATAGAACCAGTGCTTAACACTCACCCATTTTGGGGGAGTACAGCGATAAGAGCTAAGCTGTAACTCAAAAATTAAGCTTTTATTTCACACACAGAAGATAAACATCTGTGTATTTGATATTTAAAAAATCTTAACACTGTTAGCTGGACTAAAAGCACAGAGCAAAATCTTTCCAGAAGCACTCCAGCCTATAAATGCAGGGGCAGCTCAGATGCAAGTCCCTCCATATGCATGTTGTGAGGGAAATGCTAAGTAAAATGGGTGGGTATGACTGAGTAAGAACTCAGATTCTTCCTTTTGCCTTTCGTGAATCCTTTGAGAGGCCAAATTGCCATCACAAAGATCAGGGAGAGGAGTGGTTATCCAGCGGGGATGTTTGACTATGAAAAGCTTCCTCCTTGTCCCAAGGCCCCCAAAGCTTTCCCCAGGGTAAAAGGGAGCCCTGGGCGATCTGAGAATTTGGAAAGGGGCAAGCGTTTTCAATTAGTTTAAATTAATTATTTCCAGTTCCAGGATCCCGTTCATGCTGGTGTAACTATGCTAACAGGATTTTGCCCAGTGTGTCTAGTCTCTAAGTACTTTTCTACCGCTGCTGTTCCTCACCAATTAGTATTCAAAGGTAGACTGCTCTTGAACGTGGAGCTTTTATTTAGCTATGGTGGTTAATACCTTTTGAGAGATGTCTCCTCCATGCATTTGCCATAACCTTTTAAAGCTACACAGTTATATAAGCCAACAGCTGTTTATCATCACATTTAGTGTCAAGGGAATTGTGGAAGTTAAACCATAGATTAAGCAAGAAAACTTCTCCATGCTATGGTCTCATCCATCCGTACAGGCTCTGTGACTCCTTAGCAATACATCCAGTTTTAGGGGAGGCAAATAACTCTTACCCAGAGAGATCACATTTTCATAATTATCCTGCATGTCGTTGCTGGGATTCAGGGGAATTTCTGCAGCACAAGGCCTGGAAAATAAACCACAGTCACTCATTTCTTTGCAGTTTGTTTTACTACTTGGAGAGCCACACTTTGTCAGCCCCAACAGCCATCTGTTCTAGTCAGTCTGTCATAACTAAGCTACCTGAGGAAAGACAGTTACCGTCCAGAAACTATATCTACACCACTACATTGTTTTGGCAGTTTGGGAACACTTTAGCAACCATAGTGCCATCCTAAGGCATTCTGGGCTTAGTAGTTTGGTAACATACTTAGAATACTTTGCTAAAGAGCATTAATATGTTCATTTGAACTACAGCAACTAAAATTCCAGCTCCCTGTACAAAAGAGCCATGCCAGTTAGATTAGTATCAAACACCTGTGATTTTATAGCATAATGTACACAGTGCAGATTCCGTGTTTTAAACTAAAGTGGATTCACTTCAGTATCCAAAGCGTGTCGAAATTCACCTATTACTTTCCTGATCTGTCTTCCAAGCCCATTAAAGGTTAATTTTTAAAACCATCTTGCATTTATGTGGCAATAAGTACAAAGACCGTTTTGAAAACATACTTTTAAACAATTACCTACAAGACAAGTGAGTGAGACAATTCAGCCAGCAAGACGGTAATTCTGAAAGAAATGGGTGATAGTCCACAAAAGAATCTACCAAACAATATTTCTTGGTCTTAAAGGTGCTTAAATTACTTTTTGTTATTACATATAACAAAGAACATAATGTCCATGTGGAAAGGTTAGAAGAACACAGAATTGCAGTGATTATTAAGGGGATACTTATAATTCAGAAAGGGGAGGGGGCAAAATTTGGGACAGACTGTCCCTGTTCTGTTCCTGAGCTCCACATGGATAATGTATTTGGAAGAGATTTTACTCCAGTGGAGTGCATGTTTTGTGTATAGATGGTCTCAGGTTTGGTCTTTGACAAGTCAATTTAAAGAACTTCAGGACTGGGAAATGCCTGTGTCTTCCTGAGATGCCCGAGTCTTTAGCTAACTTCAGGGCCTGAACTAGGCCATCTTATTCACTAACTCAGTAAAAATGAGTTTTGTGGGGTGGAGGAGACATTGAGACCTGCCAGTTACAGCTCCCACCCTCCCTCATTCATGGCGGCTGGGGAGGGAGGGAGCTGTCATCTTGACACATCTGGAAGACCCTGAGCCAAAGAAGGCTGTGCTTGTGGCTGAACTGCTAACAGAACAGCTATCTTGCTAACTGGACTCCCTCTGAATAATGAGAACACACCTCGGAGAGATGGTGTGGCCAGAGAGTGTGGGCTCACGATTTGACAAAACCTAGGTCCACAGCGGATTCCCGTTTCTGAGCATGCCACCATCTCTCAGCTCAGCCTGCCTCAAAGGGGTGTTGGGGCGATAAATGAAGCTTGCCCATGAGATGGCTAGGTAGGTTTATTCCCGGTCAAAATGTATGGGAAATGTCAGTAGGCTTACAAGGGGCCGCGTTGGTAGTGCTTAAAAAAAACAACACATTTCCTTCTTCTCTATTTCTTTCTTTGGATGAATCTCTTCCTCAATCCTGCATCTTCGTCTGCGCTTAATCCTCCATCCCTCCATCCTTCTGCTCTGCCTACCACCATCGGATCGGTTTGTCTTTACTGTACTCACTTTTCCCCGCCGACAGGTCGCTTTACCCTCGCATGGTGAGGCGTTATGGGGTCGCTTCTGCAGCCGCCCGATCCACTCACTCCTAATAGTAGCAACGGGAGTCAAGGCGTGTCAGCCAAGGGTGCCCAAAAGCAGACCGCGATCCGGAGTCACTTGCCTATCCTGCCCATCCCTAGACTTTGGTCGAGTTCTCTCTCTCTCTCTCTCTCTCTCTCTCTCTGTGTTTGTGTGTGTGTGTGTATGTATGTGTGTGTGTGTGTGATCAGCTCCTGGATTACCTGCTGGTGCTTCCGGTTCAGGAGTAACTAGATGTCTGTCTGCAATCTTGGGGGGGGGCTCCATTCATGCTCCCCCCCCTCTAAATTCACAGCTGCCTCTCGAAATGCACACATATAGATCTTCAGAGATGGAGAGACCCGCGTAACATTGCAATCGGTTGCCGACCGGCTTGGTATTGCAAGGACACACAGGAAGGGGCAGGAGCAAGCTGCTGTTGGTGGTGGTTGGGATCTGATGCTGAGAGAGGAGAGGAGGGGGAGGCAGGAAGGCGGGGAGGGAGGTTTGGGGGGCGGAGGATCATAAAGAAAAGAGAGAGAAGATCAGAAATTGTGATGGTGATGGTGGTGGTAGGAAGCGGCTGCCTCCCTGCCTTTCACGCCGTCACCCTTGCAGCTTCCTACTGGGGGGGGGTCGACCTCCCCAGTCACAAAAGGTGGGCGATCTCCGGCTGCGCCCAAACGGCCTTTAAATAGGAAAAAGAGCACGAGCGGACCCGCGGACTTTCTCATTGTTTGAATCGTTCGATTATCGGAAGCCGACAGCAGCAGCAACACCCCTCCCTCCAAAAAACAAAAAAAGAACCCCGGAATCGGCAGATCGTTCATTTTGGGTTTCTTCCTGTGCAGGAAAAAAAAAAGCAAAACAACCTCCAGGTAAATGCATTAAGGTGAGCATCCGTGGACGGGCAAGAAAGTGAACCTATATTTTCGATTATCTCTCGAGTAAAGGAGTAGGGGTGGTAGCACAGATCAATGGGGAAAGAAGGGGCGGGTGGCGCTAACTCTGAACTGATGCTTTTTTTGATCTTCACAAGATCCCCTTTAATTTCATACCAGGGACAGATTGGCTTACCTTGTTCGCCGGCGAACAGAACAATGGCCCAGCCAGGTCGCCTGGGGTAGGGTTTGGGGGTGGTGGTGGTGGTGTTTCAGTGGTGCTTAAAAAGTTTCCCAGATCATTCTTGGGAGGTTTGCGCGCGCATGCACACACGTACACGTATGTACACACACACACACACACACACACACACACACACACACACACACACACGAAATCTCCAGTTTGCCCTCAGGGCCAATTCTTCGCCTTGCTGAAGCTCCTTTGTCCGGTCCCCAGACTTGCTGCTGGAAACACACCTCTCCTACCTTGGTTAGTAAAGTCTCCTGAAAATGCAGCTTTACCTAGAATTCTTAAAATTCGGTTATTGGCCCTATCAAGGTGTAAAAGCTCTGCTTTTAAAATTCTATAGAAACAAAGGAGTAAAAAGACATTCCACTATTTGAATTGGAACTGTCATTTCCATCTTCAAAGTCGTGGCCTTGGGCACATTTGTATTGTTGAGCCTCAGTTTCTTGTCCTCTGCAAAATGGGAATAAAGGTAGATTATTTATCTAGCTACTGACCATGATCAGGCAGACAAATGATAGGGTCCAGAGATGGAGCCTTCTCTCTCTCTCTTTCTCTGTGTATGTATGTATGTGTTTGTGTGTGTTGTAGGACAATCCTTGGAGTGGATTCCTATTTCATCCAGACAGTAGATAAGGCGTTTGTGACATATTCTAAAGAGGATGGCCAATGACTGTAATGCAAAATCCCATCTCATTCTTTTCTGCGTCCGTCCAGTTGAAGGATAACCCAAGCAGCTGGTGGTAAGGGAGGCTCTGTCTGGATGGCAACACAGCCGCTTGTAGTGGCTCATTGTGGAGTTTTAAAAAAAACTCCTGGTTTTGGTGCTTCCCTGGAACTCCAAAAATTAGGAGTTGTGACATACCTGGACATTCATAATATGCAGCCTGGATTCTTTGTGTCTCCCCAAAGATTAGTTCTTTTAACTACTGTACCTCACCTACAGGAGAAGGGGAAAAAAACAGACAAGAATAGATTCTGTTAATATGTGTTTTCCCCCAAAAGATTATCTTTTAAAAAATAGTGTACTGCTCTGCATTGCCTGTTGAGCCTTTATGACAAAAACCTGTGCTGAGATTGGCTTTTACAGATGCTCAAAGAAGGAAAACTACATGTTTTAGTCAAGGTACTTTTATTGCTGACCATTGTTTCATACATTTCAAATGTCGAGAAATGGGTCTGGATTAATTATTATGTTAAATAAGCTACAGTGTAAAGTTTTAGCCAGGATGGGTTTTTTTGATGGGGTTTCACTTATTTTGATATTCTTTTCTGTTTGCAGGTTACTCCCTCATCAAAACGAAAGGGAAGCAATAGTCAAGTTTCCAGAATTCCCCAGCTAGTATACCCAGTCCAAAAAAGAAAATCCCCCCCAAGTCTTTGTTAGTTATTTAGAGTAAGATCAGGATAGTATTTATTATAGGCACACACTAGAGCTTTCAGGTTGGCACGTTAGTTCTGCAGATAGCTTACTCCCACTGGTAACTGATGGATAACTCAGTGGTTGAGGTCTCTGACTGCAGAGCCGGAGGTGGAGAGTTTAATTTTCCAGTGTACCTCCTTGACAGGGGCTGGACTCGATGATCCAGATGATCCCTTCCAGCTCTACAGTTCTAAGATGTTGTTGTTGATGATTACTATAATATTGTCTACAACTGTCTTGAAGGCCCAGTTATCAGACAGTAGTACCTCAATATTCTGTGCAAAAATGAGAAGTCCCAAACTGAAATCAAAACTCAGTTGATGTACTTTGTTACTTGCTACCTATGAGTAGAATCATGCCCAGATGGCATGCACTCTGTGTGTGTGTGTGTGTGTGTGTGTGTGAGAGAGAGAGAGAGAGAGAGAGAGGAGAGAGGAGAGAGGTCGGACCAGGCTTTCTTTTTGTTTCAGAACTCAGTGAGTTGCTGGAAGTTGGCTTGGGTCAGAATATGGAGGATGAGTGGCTAGTTGAAGATTCTCAGCAGAAGCCTGTTTACAGGCAAACCCATCGAGAAACCCATGAAAGTCTGGTAGCACTGAGTAAGTGTTTTCTTTCTCATCTTCTGTTACATTAAATCACACAATTAAAAGGAAATGACACTGTGGATACCAGAAACAATACATGCTCTCTTTGGGTGACCTCTAAGGTGGAGGCCTGGTGCCGGTCCGTGGCCTGAGCCGGACCAGGCTGCGAAGACAGAACTCCCGCCCCCCGCATGCACTCCCCTCCCCACAGCTGCTTTGCGCACAAGCATGCCAGCGCCAGTGTGAGTGCCCCCCACCCTTCACACATGTGCCCGGGTACCCGAGCACCTGCGCGAAGGAGTGGGGTGCGCGCAGGTAGGCATGCATGCACCCCTGCGCATGTGCGAAGGGGCAGGGGAGCGCTCGCACTGGCGGGTGGGTGCTTCCCCACAGCTTCATGTGTGCGCCCAAGAGCACGCACGCACCTGTGCGCACCTGCAGCAGGGCTGCCTTCCTCAGAGGCTCAGCTGGTCCGCGGTCCCAAAACTGTTGGGCACCGCTGCTCTCGCGCGCAGGTAGGCATGCAGGCACCCCTGCGCATGTGCGAAGGGGCAGGGGAGCGCTCGCACTGGCGGGTGGGTGCTTCCCCACAGCTTCATGTGTGCGCCCAAGAGCACGCACGCACCTGTGCGCACCTGCAGCAGGGCTGCCTTCCTCAGAGGCTCAGCTGGTCCGCGGTCCCAAAACTGTTGGGCACCGCTGCTCTAAGGTAGAGTTTTGCAAGTTAGGTCTGAGATAGAGGGGTGAGCAACGTCTTTGGGCTACATTGTGGATCCACACAGAATCCACTAAGAACCATTAACCTCACTGAATTCAGCAATACTATGGCATTACACTATTGTTTTTAAAGCAAATACTGGAGGTTTTCAGTATGATCCTCTATAAATACAAAGCAAGTGGTTTCCATGGATCTTGTTTTAATGTAAAAAAGAAAAAGAAAAAGAAGGCTGTTGCCACTGTCACCACAGCAAATTTGGTGCAAGACTTTTGGAACCTCGGTGCAGTAACAAATAGACCTTCCAGGACTTGTGGCTCATATAGAGACCATCCGCTCTCTGGCCGTAGTTAGAACCAATAACTAACTACTTCAAGCATCCAAGAAGATACTGAACCCATAAAATAGAGAAATGCATGAGAGTAGTAATTAATAATTCCTGCTTCTCTAGAAGAAATACCGTATGTGCAGTAATCAGATTTTTAAACTGATAAGCTGATAGGTTTATTTAAGTTCCAGGAATGTACAGTTTATATGGTCTTTTAGTTTGCTTAGATGAAAATATATATATATACTAGGAAAAGCTGAAGATGCAGGAAAAGAGGAAGACCTCATGTTTGCAAGAATTGGGGAGGGCTGTTGACTCTCTAGAAGAAATACCGTATGTGCAGTAATCAGATTTTTAAACTGATAAGCTGATAGGTTTATTTAAGTTCCAGGAATGTACAGTTTATATGGTCTTTTAGTTTGCTTAGATGAAAATATATATATATACTAGGAAAAGCTGAAGATGCAGGAAAAGAGGAAGACCTCATGTTTGCAAGAATTGGGGAGGGCTGTTGACAACAGGACTACATATATATATATATATACACTAGGAAAAGTTGAAGATGCAGGAAAAGAGGAAGACCAAATGAGAGATGAATTGACTCAAGAAAGGAAGCCATAGCCTCAAGTTTGCAAGAATTGGGGAGGGCTGTTGACAACAGGACTTTCTGGTGGTCATTTAATTCACTGGTTCTTAACCTTGGGTTACTTGGGAGTTTTGGACTGCAACTCCCAGAAACCTTCACCACCAGCTGTCCTGACTGGGGTTTCTGGGAGTTGCAGTTCAAAAGCATCTGAGTAACTAGAACTTTCTGGTGGTCATTTAATTCACAAGGTTGCCAGAAGTCAGAAGCAATTTGAAACCACAACAACAACAAGAGTTTGCTTGGATAAAACAGATGAGTCCCTACACAAAATAATGTCTGTTTTTCTCCCTTTAGCAGGAAGGATATTTGCCCCCCAGGCTTTTTGTGTGTTGTGTAGCCCTTAATCCTTTTCTTGGCTGCCTCTATTTCTGGCAAGAAAAGGTGAATTTCAGGTCTTGGTAGTCGGGTTGTATTCAGCTGAGCAAGTGGCAGGAAACAGAGTAACATAAAACTGTAGTCAGGTTTGAAGCCTGAAAGTACGTATATAGGGCTCCAAGGCTGATGGTGATGAGGTGATTGATGGATCGATGGATGTACTTACTTGAACTTAAAAATCCCACAGAACCCACATAATATATATGACAATATGTCAATTAAAAAACCATACAAAAAAGAAAAGAGAGAACAGGAAAAGAAAATGTTTTTATGAACAGCACACAGGAGACGCAGTTTTTGAAGGCACCTTTGAATAGTAGTTCTGTTTTCAACAATTTCCTGAACATAAGGAGGGAAGTAACATGTCTTATGTCCATGATAACCTATTCCAGAGTCTGGCCGGGGGGGGGCACCACTGAGAAAGCTCAATTAGAAGTAACATGTCTTATGTCCATGGATAACCTATTCCAGAGTCTGGGGGGGGGCACCACTGAGAAAGCTCAATTCCTTGTCTTTACCTTTCTGGCCTCCTGCAAGTGGCCACTTTCAACAACATGGATTGAGAGGAAGAGGTGAAATAGGTGGTTGATTTCTAGGACAGACATTATGACAGGTATCAAGGTCCTAAACCATTATGCAGTAAGCCTCACCCCCTGTATGCTTTTCCTGAAAGTCCTGCAGATCTTTTAGCTATGCTTACAATACCCATGCAGTTGTTTGTGTTACACATATAAAGGTCTGCAAGATTTACTGGTTGGGTGGGGGCATGAGGCATGGGACCTGCTTGCATGCTCTTAGCCCCACAACCATTTGAGCCCTACATAGTTAATACCTGAACAGGGCTTAATTCTTTTTAAATGAATCCAGTTGGAAGTGAAGGCAGTGTAGGAAGACCTTCCTTCACTAGGTTATTATGCACTTTATGAAAGACAGCTCAATATGTGAGCTGGCTCCACTGAAAAGAAGAACAGTCATGGGGAAATTAATCTGTATAAATTAATCTGCATTTATCAAATCTAAGAATCTAAGTCTGGACCTACTTCAGCATTTATTACAAGCATATTTGTAGGATCTGCACATGTAAATTGTATGGTACAGTATGTTGCTCAGAAGCTCTGGAGAACATGACATTGGTACTCCAAATGGAATGGATTATGGCCCGTTCAACATATAAATTCAGACATAGGCAGCTGCTGGTTGGGTGTCTGACATAAAAGAAGTACAGCTTTACAGGCAGAGCTTTGAAAAGATGATGATAATGATGATGATTTTATTTTTATTATTATTGTTGCTGTTGCTGTTGCTGTTATTGGTATTGTTATTATTGTTGTTATCAAAATATTCCAGGCACAGTCAAAATTATAAAAACATTGACTAGTCTTATATAACACAGCGGTCCCCAACCTTTCTAGCCCTGCGGACCAGCTAGGAAAGGCAGGGCACCCCCTGCACTCGAGGGTTGGGGAGCTCTGATATAACAGATACAAGTTTTAACCAAAAACCTAAGTATCTGTTAAATATCAATGCAGTATGTATGCTGTTCCTAATATTGCCGGGGTTTTTTGTACCTCTGATGGTGTCATTTCTGAGATCTGCAACTGCTTATAATACTGTGTGAAATTTCTTGATATTGTTCCCAAAGCCCCGATGACTATGGGGACCAATGAAGTGTGTTTCTTTCAGAGGCAAGATGTTTCGATGGCCAGGTCTCTGTACTTTGTTAGTTTTTCCAATTCTTTATTTTCAACTCTGGCATCCCCAGGAATTGGAATGTCACTCATCCAGACATTTCTTCATTCTATTACTACTATGTCTGGTGTGTTATGTTCAAAGTGTCTGTCCGTTTGGATCTGGAAATCCCACAAGATCTTGACTTCCTCATTTTCTGACACCTTCTCTAGCTGATGTTCCCATGAGTTTTTGGAGGCCAGCAAGTTATATTTTTTGCGTAATGGCCAGTGCACTAGCTTTGCCATTCTATCATGTCTGTAATCTGTGCAGTCTTTGGACATTCACAGATGAGGAGTGAAACAATTTCAACTTTTTCTTGGTAGAGTTGACATTTGCTGTTAGCACTAACTCATTGGGTCTTAGCTTTCATTATGTTGGTTTGGAGTGCATGTTCTTGTGCAGCAAAAATCAAGCCTTTGGTTTCTTTCTTAAGGGTCTCCAGTTTTAGCCATGCCCATGTTGAATTATGCTTATGCTTTCCATCAGTATTTCTCAGGAGTTGTCCATGTAGTGGTTTATTTTTCCAGCTGTTTTATTTTCAAATTGTTGTTTCTTATATTGAGCCTTTGTTTCTGTTGTTTTCAAAATATTCTCCATTTTCACTGCTTTCAGTAATTTTTCTCTGCTTGTACAGATATAATTATTTAGGCTTCTTTTTTCTTCCTCTACTACCTGTTGTATTTGCAGCAATCCACAGCCTCAGATTTTTCGTGGTATAGACAGACAGACAGACAGACAGACAGACAGACAGACAGACAGACAGACAGACAGACAGACAGACAGACAGGTCGTTTCGTTTAGTCGCTCAGTCATGTCCGACTCTTTGTGACCCCATGGACCAGAGCACTCCAGGCCCTCCTATCTTCCACTGCCTCCCGTAGTTGTGTCAAATTCATATTGGTTGCTTCGATGACACTGTCCAACCATCTCATCCTCTGTCATCCCCTTCTCCTCTTGCCTTCACACTTTCCTAACATCAAAGTCTTTTCCAAGGATTCTTCAGATAGGTAGCTAGATATAATTATTGTTTTCCTTTTAGATGGTAAGTCTTAGACTATCCCAGCCAACATGGCCACTGGCCATACTTGGGAATACTTGGGAACTGAGAAGATTATAGCCCCAAATAAGCAGCTTTGCCAAGCCCCAGCCAAAAGTGGGCTACAAGGCTGAAGTCTTATAGTGTTGCCTGTCTTCTCTAAGCAGGACCTCCAAGTTCCAAACCGAATGAGATTTTCCTGGTGGAAGAGGAAGAGGAACCCTGCATCCTAGAGCCTGGGAACAGAGAGAACACAAGACGAGGCAATAAAGGTGAGGAGGTCACACGGCCAAGAAATCCCAACCTCTTCCTTCCAAGTATCCATCATATTACAGTGGTGCCTCGCTAGACGGTTGCCCCGTTTTACGATGAAATCGCTTTACGATGGGTTTTTTGCATGCATTTTACCCATCGCAAAACGATTCATCCAATGGGGCTTTTTCGCACCACAATCACCCGCGCGGAGCACTTCAGAGGCTTTTCCTGCACAGTCAGGAAAAGCCTGCAAAGTGCTCTAAAGTGGGTGCGGGTGGTTTCGGGGCACCCCCGCCAGGGGTCTGATGGCTTCTCCTGCACCATCAGAGCCCTGGCGGGGGATGCCCCAAAACCACCCACACCCGCGCGGAGCACTTCAGAGGCTTTTCCTGCACAGTCAGGAAAAGCCTGCAAAGTGCTCTAAAGTGGGTGCGGGTGGTTTCGGGGCACCCCCGCCAGGGGTCTGATGGCTTCTCCTGCACCATCAGAGCCCTGGCGGGGGATGCCCCAAAACCACCCACACCCGCGCGGAGCACTTCAGAGGCTTTTCCTGCACAGTCAGGAAAAGCCTGCAAAGTGCTCTAAAGTGGGTGCGGGTGGTTTCGGGGCACCCCCGCCAGGGGTCTGATGGCTTCTCCTGCACCATCAGAGCCCTGGCGGGGGATGCCCCAAAACCACCCACACCCGCGCGGAGCACTTCAGAGGCTTTTCCTGCACAGTCAGGAAAAGCCTGCAAAGTGCTCTAAAGTGGGTGCGGGTGGTTTCGGGGCACCCCCGCCAGGGGTCTGATGGCTTCTCCTGCACCATCAGAGCCCTGGCGGGGGATGCCCCAAAACCACCCACACCCGCGCGGAGCACTTCAGAGGCTTTTCCTGCACAGTCAGGAAAAGCCTGCAAAGTGCTCTAAAGTGGGTGCGGGTGGTTTCGGGGCACCCCCACCAGGGTTCTGATGGCTTCTCCTGCATGATCAGAGCCCTGGTGGTGCCCCGAAACCACCCGGCCGGCTTTAGAGCACTTTGCAGGCTTTTTCTGCACCATCAGAGGACTAGTGGGGGGACCTCCAAAGCTTGTGATTGCGGGGAGGGGACCCCCCGCCATTCCTCCCATGGTGCTTCCCCAGCTCCCTAACCCTTAAGTTCCTTTTTTTAAAAAAATTTCCCCTAGGAACGCATTGATTAATTTTCAATGCATTCCTATGGGAAATTTGGTTTCGCAAGACGATGTTTTCGCAAGACGGCGATTTCTATGGAACGGATTAACATCGTCTTGTGAGGCACCACTGTATATTTTCCTTTCTGACTGGTTTGCCAGTACATAAAATGTAATCCCATTTGTTTTTCCTTCCCACGTTTAGCAGGTCATTTGGGCTGGACTGAGCTTTAGGCCCATCTAACAAGGCATAAATCAATTCCCATTTCCCCTCCTCTCCAGAGCTTGGGAAAACCTGTTTTCCAGACTACCGTTCCCAGCATCTTCCAACTGGTATAGCCACTGGCTGTATATTTGTTTATTTATTTAAAAATAATTGTCTCCTTAAAAAGGTGACTTAAATCATTAAAAGACAATATTTAAAGTTAACAACGGCAGATATACAAATACAGAAAAGTGTCAAATACACTAGAAAACATAAGCAACATCAAAACATATTCAAAGCAATGCATTAAAAAATCTCACTCAGGTAGCTGGGCAATCTGGGAAAGCCTGCCTGAAAAAGAGAGGTCTTCACCTCCTTGTGGAAGGACAGCAAAGACGGGGCCAGCCTGGCCTCCTGTGGGAGGGAGTTCCAAAGTTTGAGAGCAGCCACAGAGCAGAGGACGCCCTCTCTCCTGTCCCCACCAAGCGCACCTGTGAGGGTGGTGGGACTGAGAGAAAGGCCTCCCTATAACACCTGAGTAGGTTCATAAAGGAAAATGCAGCCTTTGCGAAAGCTTGGGCCCAAGCTATTTAGACCAGTTGTCCCCCACATTTTTGACACCATTGGTCGGTGGGGGGGGTCAGTGTGTGTGGGGGGGAGTGGGGCACCCCCTGCGCTAACATGCATGCATGAAGGGGCAGCACTCACTCGTGCAGGTGCGCAGGACCTCACATGGGCCCTTGTGCGCACACACAAAGGGGCAGGGGTGTGCAAAGGGGCTGTGCGGGGGGGAGTGTGTGCAGGGCCCCCCGGGAAATCTGTCTCTGCGGTCCAGTCCGGCCAAGGCCATGGTCTGGCACGAGGCCATGGGCCAGGTGTTAGGGACCACTGATTTAGATCAAACATAATTTTTCTAAGTTTTCCTCTCCACGGCAGCCCCTCCAGTTCTCTGGAAATGCTACGCAGAAGTCTGAGGAATTCCACTGAACGGCATTGCCTGTGTTTCAAAGGGAAATTCCTTCAGTCAAGTAAAAAATCCTGCCTAATTTACAATAGCCTTAACCTAATTCAGCAGGATTTTCTTACTTTCCCTGTAGCATGGGGTAGGAGGTTGGAGTGTTGCCATGGTAACAAAGGGTAGGCCTGTCTGCGTTTACCAAACCCACCATGAGCGTCTGAATCTGGACCTGCCTCAGCATTTATTGCAAGCATATCTGTATGTGCAAATCATGTAGTAAGTTGTCAGAAGTGGTTACTCTGTGAATCATGACCCCAGTACTATTAATGGAAATGTTTAAGAAAACAACAGCAATAACTAAGGGAACCAGAAACATAAGATAGCCGCTTGTGAAGGCTGTTGCTATTATTACTGCTCAGGAAATACCTGCCTATTTATCGTATAGGATTTATATCACAGTCTTAGGCAAATTCAATGGGACTTCTTTATATGTTAATGTCATGAACGTTGTACAGTTGGGCACCAGCAAAGTTCATAACTAGAGGGACAATGTCAGACAGGCTGGATTGGACAACAGAAATGTATGTTATCTTAGCTGGACACTTGTTTCATAAAGAGAGACTAGTGCTTGCCCATCTTGTTTTATTGCTTTTTCTTGTAATATCTCATTTAGTTCATTCACTTGAGCCAGCTACCTTGTGGAATGAAATTCACATTGGTACATTGCGTCTTGAGGTCAAAGACACCACTGTGGCTGTTTGCTTAGAGGACGCTAAATGAGAGTTTTAAAAAATTAGTTTCTTTCTTTCTTTCTTTCTCTTCCTTCTTTCTTTCTCTTCCTTCTTTCTTTCTCTTCCTTCCTTCCTTCCTTCCTTCCTTGCTTCCTTCCTTCCTTCCTTCCTTCCTTCCTTCCTTCCTTCATTTCTTATTGATTGATTGATTATTGTGCAACCAAATTTTCAACTGTATCCACATAGGCAGGACTGTGGTTGCTTTAGCACCAAGAAAAGTCAAACATGCGGTATATATGATGACTAGACACCTTAAAAATTGAATATGGCGAAACTGAGAAATCTAGCAAAGACCTACAGGCCAGACATGAAGCCTCGGGAAGTAAGTTTCCTACCAATAATTGAGTATCCTTTCAATACATGGATTATGATGTTGTGGAGGTGGGTAAATTTGACAAATCTGGGTGCCAGTGGGTTCCATAGGCCACCAAAAAAAATGGCAGAATGAATGAGCATAGGAAGGAAGGAAGGAAGGAAAAGAAAGAAAGAAAGAAAGAAAGAAAGAAAGAAAGAAAGAAAGAAAGAAAGAAAGAAAGAAAGAAAGAAAGAAAGAAAGAAAGAACTTCCCATTCTTTGGTATTAAATGCTGGGTGAAGGGATCCGGTGATTTATTTAAGAAGTGAATAGCCACTCCTGGGGGATTCTAGAAGTGACAGTTCACCTTTTGTGGTATCAGAAAAAGAGCCCTAGAGGACACCCAAACAACCTTGGAGGGCTGCATGAAGCTCCCTGCCTTCTTGAGGAAGTCTACCTTTTCACACTGGAAATGTTATTTTTTCTCTTTGCCTCTTCCAGCAGGTGAAGGATTGGGCAGCGAAGAGGAGGAACTGAGTGATGAGGAAGACGTGCAACAGCAGGGCCTTCCTCAGGTGGTGGAGCTGGATACCAGCATGGTTTCTGGGAACTGTAAGAGTCTGCGCTGGAGAGTTGTGCAGCAGGTTGGTGGCGGCAAGGTCCTGGCAGGGGAGGGACCGCCCATCATGGTTCTCCAGAAGGGCTATGAGTGCGAGGACTGTGGGAAGGTGTTCAGCTGCAGCTCGCACTACAGCAAGCACCGACGGACGCACACGGGCGAGCGCCCCTTCCGTTGTGGAGACTGCGGCAAGAGCTTCAATGTCAGCTCCAACCTTTACAGGCACCAGCGGGCGCACGCCAATGCTGGTACCAACTCTGTGGCCCCCACTCCCTCCCTGATGCCAAGCCGTGGCTTGCCCTATCAGTGTGCCGAATGTGGCCGGTGCTTCCGCCGCAACACCGAACTGGTGACTCACCAGCGCCTCCACACGGGCCGCCTGCCCTTCCAGTGCAGCGACTGTGGCAAGAGCTTCTCCTGGAGTTCACACTTTGCTCGGCACTTGCGGATCCACACCGGCGAGAAGCCTTACCCGTGCAACGAATGCGGCAAGCGCTTTAGCCGCAGTTCCCATCTCTACCGGCACCAGCGTACTCACGGGACCAATGCAGCGGCCAACGTCACCCGTGCATACATCTGCACCTACTGCGGCCGCAGCTTCAGCACCACATTGCACTTTGATGAACACCAGCGCACCCACCGTGGCCGGAAACCCTACAAGTGCACCCTCTGTGGCAAAGCCTTTGCCGATGGGCTGGCTTTGGTGAAGCACCAGCGCTTGCATTTGATTGGGGGGGATCAGAGTCACCAGTGCTCGGAGTGCGGGCAAAGCTTCGGGGGGCGCTCGCAGCTGGCCCGCCACCGCCGACTCCACGGTACGGCTGACAAGCCCTACGGCTGTGGGGAGTGTGGCCAGAGCTTTAGCGCCCGCAGCCAGCTGGCTCAGCATCGGCGGCTCCACATCTCTGCGGACAAGCCGTACCACTGTGGCGAATGTGGGCTGAGCTTCACCTGGAGCTCCCATTGGGAGCGACACCAGCGCATTCATACCGGCGAGAGGCCCTACTCCTGCGGGGACTGCGGCAAGCGTTTTGGGCGGACCTCCCACCTTTACCGGCACCAACGCACTCACGCTGGAGGTCAGCCTCATGTCTGCCCAGACTGTGGCAAGAGCTTCAACAGCACCTTGCATTTCCAGCGCCACCAGCACACGCACCACCTCGATCCAGACAATGCCCCGCTCCCTGCCCACGCCTGTGGGGACTGTGGCATGCCCTGTGCTGATGCCTCTGCTTTACTCAGACACCAGTGTGTGCAGGCAGGGGAGGGGCTCTATCCTTGTCCCCAGTGTGGGTGCCGGTTCCGTAGCACCTCACACTTTTACTGGCATCTGCAAAGCCATGCCCACCAAGTAGGGGAGACTGTGCTCGTACCAGCTTCCACGCAGTGTAAGGAAAACAAACCATGCTAAGCAATTGGGCAGGGCCATCCATCCTAGAGAGAGTATGGGGGCTGGCATACTTTCAGTACTGTACTCCTGATAGGAATTCCCCAGGTGTACGGGACCAATCCAAAGTCCATTGGACTATTTATTTCCAAAATGTACTTTGGCCCACTGTTCCAGTGTTGCTTCTGGCACAAAACAATACCTTATTGGACCAATCAGGTTGGCATAAAGGTTTCACATCATCAGATACATTCTGGTCTCTGGGGGAAAAATACCTAAGCTTTTCCATGCCCATAGTCTTTACATATTTCCCTTGGTCTTTACATATTTCCCTTGGTTTATCACTACATTCTGGTCTCTGGGGGGAAAATACCTAAGCTTTTCCATGCCCATAACTCCCTGGTCTTTACATATTTCCCTTGGTTTATCACTCTTGAACCTTTGGTGTCTAAGATGGCTGCTCTGATCCTCTCAGTTTCCCAGCGTGGCTGAGCACTTTGAAAGGCTCCCCCTTATAGTTGAGAAGAAGTCCATTCTTCACTAAAGACTCAGGTTCTGTTCTCAGAATAAAAACTGTAGAAAGTACACACAGCCTTCCATGAAGGGGCTAAATTGTGATAGTTAGATTTGGGTTTTTGCTTGTGGCAAGAACTTGGAAAACTTTGGGGAGGGAGGTAGATGTGGGTAGCCACAGGAAGAGCATTAAGTACCAGTGTGGGTTAATGGTTAGAGTTTCAGACTGGAAATTGAGAGCCGTGGGTTCATGAAACTGAGCCATGAAACTGGATTACCTTCAGCCAGTCATTCTCTCACAGAGAATGGCTTGATGCCAGTGTAAAATGGGGGACTGTGGAGGAGACACCTTTACCTTATTGAAAGAAAACTGATACACACATGTCATTAATTACAAAAGGAAGGGCCACAGGAATCTGTGTAAGATAACAGGAGACTAAAACTTGGGAAAATTTTTGGATTCGTATTAGAAGCAGTCTAATGGTGCTTATGGAGTGAAAGCCAATAGGTGCTGATCGCAACTCCAGAACCCATTAGTGGCACTGCTGGGAGAGAACTTTCTGGTGAGTAGCAACTGATGTTGCTGCCAAATTGGTCTGTCTCCCACTCTGCCACCATTAATGGCACCCAAATGCTTGAGGCTACCGCCTCGTCTCATAGTAGCAGCCACCCCTTTGGAACTAGGCCTTCAGGGCAGTTCATTGTGGACCTCTGTCTCATAACTGGACTGACATCATGGCTGTTGCAGTCAGTCAGTTTCAAAGGAGCTCACTGGGTTACAGAAGCTGCCCAGGGTCTAGCCAACCCTTTCTAATGGCCTTCTCTTATTCTGAGACAGAGCCCAATGGAAGAGGTAGTCTCAGGGCAGGGGGCAAACTGAGCCAACCTTTTCCTGCAACTGAACTGCTAAAATGCATGGATGTTACTTGGCACACCCTTTAAACCAAAACCTGCACACATCTCACAACTTTACATTTCCAAATTAGAGAAATAGGAATAGCCTCAGCCTCTTAGATCTTCCCCATCCCCTTGTCCTCTTGGTACCTTTCGTGAGAAGACTATAGCATGGTTTAAACCTATCACAGAATGATATGGCAGAACCATGCAGGGGTAGAGCAGGCAATATACTTTTCAGACTGCAGGTATGTGTTGGAGGAATTTTTTTAAAATGTCCCCTCATGGTGCACTCTGCATGAAGAATACTAGCATTGCAGGAATGAGCCAGGATACATCTATTCCTTTTTGATATGGCAGCTTTCGTACATAGGAAACTTTTACATGAGGCAGCACTCAACAACTATACAGTATTTCTAGCTGCAGTCTGAAGTGGACCCTCCACATGCTGTGAGTTACATTCCCTCACATCAGTTATAGAGTTTTTGAGGCATATGAGATGTTCAAGGGGTGGTTTTACCTTTATCACATCATTCCTACCTCTGGATTTCCATGACCAAGCAGGGATTTGAACCCAGGTCTCCTGAGGCATAGTCCATACCATTTCCCATACAGCTGCATTTACAGATCAATTTTAATGAAATGTTCATACCGAATAGTATTTGGGTGGGATATCTGCCTTACATAGGTGCTCCACCATTGCACCGCCACAGCTGCCTTAGGTTTCTGACCACTTTTCTCTGGCTCCTGCCTACCACTCCTAGTTTTTGTTAGCAAAGCTCTCGTGCCCACCATGAAAACAGTTCTTCAGATGACAGAAAACAGTTCTTTTCACATAGCCTAATTCTTTATTATGTGGTGGAAAGTTTATTCAGTTAAGTTAATTGTCTGATGCTCTGTGAAACCCACCAGTGACCCTTTCCTTGCCAAAGTGTTCTAGATTCTGCCAAGAGAGATAAATCCCATTAGAAGTTGGAGTGAGTTATGAAAAGAAATGAAACTATGCAGATTTCCTCAAATTATGTGATAATAAATCTGAGTTTGGTTGTTGTGGGTTTTTCTGGCTCTTTGGCCATGTTCTGAAGGTTGTTCTTTCTAACGTTTCGCCAATCTCTCTGGCTGGCATCTTCAGAAGACAGCA